GCTGTGACGGCGACTGCGACGACAGAGGAGGGGAGACCGGGGGAAAACTAGGCGGCGAGAACTATGCCGCAGGGCCACCAGAGTCAGCCGACTCCTCGATCGGGACAAGCGACGGGAGGGGAGTGACGTGAGACACACCAGACAGAGCAGGATGGGGAGGGAGGGGAGCAGGGGCTACTGGGGGCGTGGGGACTAGAAACAAGGGTGGGGAAACTAGGAGACTTCAGTGGGGAAAGCGACGGTAAAAGGAGACAGACTCTTTGAAAGTGACGTCACGCGAGTGAAGGAAGCGGTGAGATGGCGGGTGGTAGAAGTGCCAGTCAGACGAGTCAACGGGGAAACCAAGGAAGACACAGGGTACAGTGCGGGCAGTTTGCTTGTCCGTGCCAGAGGCACGAACGTGAGCGAGGACTCCCCAGACGTGGAACATAGACGCGTCACCAGGAGACTCAATCCAGAGGAGGGTCGGGGAAACCTGCGGCCGCTGGGAGTGGGGCAACAGGTTCAGCGGGTGAGCGGCGTAACGAACTGCAAACGGCCACAGAAAATGGGGTGCACCGGCACTAATCATGGAGGTACGAGCCACCTCCATGACCAAGTCGATGCATCGCTCAGCGACCCCATTCTGCTGTGGGGAGTCCGTCAGGGTGGTGATGCCCTCCGCACGACAGAACCGGCCAAGCCGACCGGAGGCAAACTCGCCGCCACGGTCGGAGTGGAGACACAGCATGGGGAGACCTCGTTGGACTCGTGCAGCTACAACCTACGGGATAAGAACATAAGGCACGTCGGCCTTCTACTCCAAAAGAAACACCGTGGTGTAGCGTGTGTATTCGTCGACAAGCACCAGGAAGTAGCACTCTCGACGCGGCCCAGGGATGGGGGTTGGACCCCAGACGTCCAGGTGCAGGGTCTAGAGTGGCGCAATGGCAAGGTGAAGCCATGAGGAGTGAGGTGCATGGCGCAGCCCACCCTCGACGCAGGGCAAGCACGGCGGCGCAGGCGAGGGAGGGAGGGAAGGGAGCGATGCATGGAGATCTAGCACAAGACCGTGCAGGGACATGTGACGCAGACGTGGGAGTGCAGGGTGACCTAGGCGGTGGTGCCACAGCAGCGACGGATGAGTGAGCGACCGACACGAGCAAGCCGCGGCTACCTGGGGGGACTCAGTGTCCAGCATAAACAGGCAAGACACAGGGTCCCGGGGGAATGTCGCAAGGGGGGCACCGGAGGCAGCCTCGGTACAGACAGCGTACCGCTCATGACTAGGGAACATAGTGGTGACGCCGAGGTCCTGAAGACAACCGACACCAACTAGGTTCCTAGAGAATGAGGGGATGTGCAGGCCTATAAGGGTGCCCGAGGGGGCCGTCGGACAGGGAAGGGTGGTGGAGCTACAGGCAAACCGGACCGGAGGAGGGGTCTGCAAGTGCGACGGCGGTTGGGGCGGCAGGCGGTGTAAGGGAAGTATGGTCGCGGAAGAAGCAGGTAGACGCACCGGAGTCAAGCGTGAAGGAAAGCGAAGCGCTAGCGGCTGTCGACGTAGGGGCTAGTGTGGAGCCTAGACTAAATAAGGCAGACGGTCCTACGCCTGACGCAGCTGGGGAGCCTAGACTACACACAGGGGACACACCTACGCTAGGCAACACCGGGTAATAGGGTCCAATCATACTAGAGTCATCTACATACATGACAGACATAACATTCCTAATCTGATCCATGTCAAGCTCAAAGACCGGCAAACGATGATGAGCCAGGGCGTACCAGTCCAGAGGGTTAGACGCAAGACCAAAGCGGTGGCAGAACAGGTCGTCCAGGCGGCAGTAGCAGCGGTCGGCTATGTGGCCGGGCCGGAGGCAGACAGTGCTGCGGCGAGGGCCGGTCTGAAGCTAGTACTAGCAGGTGACCGCGCTGGAGCTGCCACCCAACACCGAGCTGCGCCCGCCCCCCCCACGACCACCGCCGCTAGCACCGCTAGTCAACCACGACGGTGGGGGTCCCCACGGCGACTGCTGCTGCTGCGACGACTGCGGCGGCTGTTGCGGCTGCTGTGTGTGCTATGCTGCTGTTGAGGTAGCGTCTACTGCTGCAGCTGCTCCAGGGCACCAGCCCTGGTCCCCTCGTCTGAACCACCGTCCCCGCCCTCACCGCCGCCACCCTCCCCATCGACACCCCCCTTCCCCCACCACGCCCCCCTTTGGGGCGGCGACCCTTACCCGGACGCTTCTGCGCTGAGGCCGCAGCAGCAGTCTCAAAAACAGCAGCAGAGACATCAGAGTAAGTGCACTAGAAGGGAGCATAGCCCTAAAAGATAGGCACCGCCGCAATACCGCTAGACTGAGCGATACTACGCTGGCGGGTCTCTATCTTAGACAAGGCAGTAACAAAGGCGGTGAGAGTGAGGTCACTCGGGTGCTGGCTAAGAAAGTGGTCGCGGGATGTGGCTAGGCGGCCAGGGAGGCGCGTGGCGATGAGATATAGGGTAGCGCAGAACGGTGGCGGGAAGGCAGTGAGCTGTGCCTCGGTGCTAGCAGCACGGTAGTTCGTCTCAAGCGCGCAGAGGTGCGTGGCAAAGTCGGCGACAGTGGGGAAGGACGCAAGACCAGGGAACAGCATGGGGAGGACCAGGCGTCCAGCAGAGGCAGTGGCGGGGGTGGAATAGCGCGCAATGACAGCATCTAAGAAGGCATGGGCGTTCGCTACAGTGGTAAATGAGGACGCTCAGACAGCGGGAGCGCATGGCTGATAGCAAGCTAGGCGACAGCGTCGCGCGAGTCCCAAACGACACGATCAAGCGCAGCAGCGGAAAAGGCCTCACGCTCAGCAGTGGTGGGGGCATCAGGGAGGGCAGCAGGGGCAGGGGGGCGGGGAAGCAGGCCATCGACATGAACAGCCAGAGAGTGACCGTCCTGGCGCTGACCTGTAAGGTGACGCCGAAGGTCAACGAGCCACGCCTCAAAGCCGAGCGCCCGGCCCTCTGCGTCCAGACGGAGCTGTGACTCCGCCATCGCCACTGCTGCAGCTGCTGACGGCCGCTGACAGAGTGAGGAGGACAGGTGGAGGAAGCGGTGAAAGGCGGCGGAATGCGGTGGAGTGCGGTGTAGTGTGGTGGAGTGTGGTGGAGTGCGGTGGAGTGCGGTGGAGTGCGGTGGAGTGCGGTGGAGTGCAGTGGAGTGCGGTGGAGTGTGGTGGAGAGCGGTGGAGTGTGGTGGAGTGCAGAGTAGTGCGGTGGAGTGCGGTGGAGAGCGGTGGAGACAGCCGGCAGGGAAGCCGGCATTGAAGGGTGCCTGAGCCGGTGGGTCGACGCTGGGACTCGACGTTCCGGCGGCTGGCCGCTGAAGCGGGGACCGGCGAGGCTAGAGCCAGCTGGCTGGGCGGCTGGCTGGCTACGGCTGGCAAGGGCTGACGGGGCACACTAGGCCGGCGGGGCGCGGGCGGGGCCGGTAGGGCGCTAACAGGCCGGCGGGGCGAGCAGGGCCAGAGGGGCGCACAAGACTAACGGGGCGCTAACAGGGCCGGTAAGGCGCTAGCGGGCCGGCGAGGCGCTAACGGGCTAGTGGGGCGAGCGGGGCCAGAAGGGCGCACGGGGCCGACGGGGCGCGAATGGGGCCGTCAAGGCGCTAACGGGCCGGCGGGGCGCTAACGGGCTGGCGAGGCGAGTAGGGCCAGAGGGGCGCACGGGGCCGACTGGGCGCTAACGGGCCGGCGGGGCGCTAACGGGCCGGCGGGGCGCGAGCAGGCCGGCGGGGCGAGCAGAGCCAGAGGGGGCGCACGGGGATGACGGGGCGCTAACGGGGCCGACGGGCGCGAACGGGCCAGAGGGGGGGGCGACGGGGCGCTAACGGTGCGCTAAGGGGCGGCTAGGAGCGGCCGGGAGGACCTAACCTAGCGCGTGATACCATCTTTGAGTAAAAAGTTGACTAGAATGAGACATACAGGTTGATTTTGTTCAAGTGTTGTACCCTCTAAGAGCATGCACCTATCTAGCCTGTTATAACATATACAAATCAAGGTCTCAGATATCAGACGAAATCGGTCTGATGGTCTGAAAATCAGACCTGTTTTTTCTCATTCATCTGATTTTTTGACGGGCTAAATTAATTCGTCTAATCGTCCAGATAAGCCATAATATTTCGTCTGAAAGTACAGACTAGGTGTAGACTTCCGTCTGAGAATTCAGATAGCGCGGTTTTTTTCGTCTGATACATTCCTCGTCTCCCCGAGTGCCAAATACATTCCTCCCACACCCCTACACAACCTCCCTATTTTGTTTCTTTGCTAGTTTTTCCGGCATAGTCCTCCAGACCAAAGATATTCCTCCACATACCCCTCGTAACAATAAAAATTTGGCGAAGTCCCTCATACCCGAGACATTGCTCTACACACCAAACACAACCCCGAAAATTCTACGAAGACCCTTTTTCCGAGATACATTCCCCCACACACCCCTCAAGCCATGTTTTTCCGATGAAGTCCCTCACAGCTAGACCATGAAATTTTGGCTCAAGAGTCAAGACCCTCCCACTCCCTCCCCCCCCGTATACCTGTGAGGGTTGCTTGTGTGTGACACGTGACGTGTCACACGTCATGTTACGTGCGAGTATCTCACAACCAAACAGAGCAAGGCCCTGGTTCTGTAGGCAGATACAGTGTGCAGGCCTTGGTCTCTCTCCCCAGGCTCGCGTGCTACAGTGCCGTAAAATTTCCACGCAAAACGGTTCAATGCGGTTCCGCGTGGTCTGACACAGGGTTGTGATTGTCGATGTTCAGGCTCTGTTTTCAAACTTCTTGGGCGCGCCTTTTTTAGACAGTCTTGCATCCGTACAGTACGATTTTGACGCAAGCAGATTCGAAGCAGCTGAGAATTGTGATACTGAAACGATTTTAGCTTGACAAGGAACCTTCGAACGCGCTCGTAGGCGGGTCCAAGTCTGGGAAGACGTTTGTAGGAACAGGCTCTCAGCAAGAAACAAGGAAACGGAAAAATCGAAGTCTGAATTTGCAAGTGGCGAGGTTTCTTGCAGCAAAAATTTCGTCTGAATGTTCAGACTTGCGTTACAAAATCGTATGAAATCTCAGACTCCTTGAAATTTTTCGTCGGATGGTCAGACGAAACTTTGGAACCCCGTCTGATTTTCAGACAGCCCTAAATCCTAGCTGAAACCCTGATACAAATATGTTTGACAGGGAGGACCCTGAACGATCAGTGTGCCCCAAAACGAATCTGAGGCCCTGCCTTGCCCTCATTGTGTGGCTTGCTCTGCACTGCCCTGATTATGAGCCACCATCGCTTCTGCTTGCTCAGATCAAGTTTGCTGCAATAGAGATGGTGGCCTTGCGGGCGGTCAAGGTGGTGGCAGGAAGGCAGCAGTGCCAAGGAAGAGGGGAGATGCGGGTTGAACTGGGAGCACCGACAAGAGCAAGCAGGCATGCAGGTCAGAGGGAGCCAGGGGGCTTGTCTGAGGTGGCCGTCGTGTGGAAGACAGCTGCAGCGTGGCTGAATCCCATCGTGCCATAATCGCTGCTGCTGCTGTCGTCACTGCTCACATGGTTGGTGCTGCTCACGCGGTTGGTGCTGCTCACGCAGTTGGTGCTGCTCACGCGGTTGGTGCTGCTCACGCGTTTGGTGCTGCTCACACGGTTGGTGCTGCTCACGCGGTTGGTGCTGCTCACACAGTTGGTGATGCTCACGTGGTTGGTGCTGCTCTCGTGGTTGGTGCTGCTCCCGCTGTTGGTGCTGCTCACGTGGTTGGTGGTGCTCACGCTGTTGGTGGTGGTGCTGTTGTTGCTACGCATGTAGCTAAAGGAGGTGATGTCTTTCAGCAGCGGCGGCAACAGCATCAGCACCCAGGCCACCGTACTGCTGCCTGCACGTGGTGCTTTTCTGCATTGTGGCTGCTGCACGCGTGACGAATGGAGATGCCCCTCGGCTATTCCCCGCTGCACGCACACCACCAGCACTGCCACTAGCGGCGGCGGCAGCAGGAGCAGCAGCAGTAAGATCCGAGGAGTGCACGAGAGGGCCTGGGCAGCTTCGCTCTCCACCAACCACAGAACATCGCAAAAAAGGTGTGCTCGCAAAACGATTGCGTAGCATTCGAGCGAATGCTTTGCAAACGTTTTGCGAACATGTGGGTGAAAATTCATGGCGGACTAAGATCAGAACACTTGGCGAATGCTTGGGCAACATTTCCCGAAACACTTTTTGGTTCACGACAGCGAATGCTTAGAGGTGTCTTTTCGGTAATCTCCGTGGTTCGTTTACAAATGCATGGCGGTGTTCTTTCTACAACTTTTGCAGTAAACATGTAAATGAATAGAGAAGTTTATGCTCACCATTTTTAGTATTCAGCATGATTTGTTGCAAACGTTTGGTGGTGTTTTTCATGGATCCGTTTTTGCAGGCTGCAGTACCCTTTTGGGCATGGTTCAGTACAATTAGGGCATGCCTCGTTTGGATTTACTTATAATGCAACATGCAAATTATTTGATATATTAAAAAAAACATCCACACCACAGTACACAACCACTATGGCCCAACCGCCCTTGCCTACCAGCACCCCTATGTGGGTCCCGCACTAACACAAAGAGAAACTGAGCGGCGGCACACCAGGAGCAGCAATTCTTGAAACTGGATTGGAATTCCTGCACGTTACGTACAGAACTTGTTATCTCGAAATTAATCCAAGGTCGAAATCACCAACAATAAGGACAATGCTTACAACAACGAAGTAGCGCGACGCTGGATATTGAGTCCTGCACATTAGGTTCAAACATTGTAATCAAATTAGTTATATTCCATACGATAGCAATTACAAGAGCCAGCTTACCGGAGGAAATAGCTCGTGGTAGGCTACAAATTTCTGCACGTCATACGAGACATTGTTGTGAAATTAGTCCGACGATCAAATGACCAGCGAGACTTACAATTGGACTTACATGGGGAATTATCTCGATGTTGGACAGAGTTACATAGCTAGCTGCGATAAAGACAAGCATCGTGAGGACACATGCGAATCATTAGTTTGATTGATACGTCAAGTAACAAATGCCTTCATACCCCCATGGCGTGCTGTGTGTGCCCGTATCGTGCGTGCATGGCGCCCTCCACCAGCAGCCCCGCCTGGAATCGCCCCGCCCACCACTCCGACGCCGGGCGACTACCCACCGCTGTCACGCCCGCACTGCTTGGAGAGAGGAGGGGGTGGCAGGGGGCGGAAGCGGGAGGGTGGAGTGACGGTGTGCGCAAGAGTCGGGGAAGAGCGCACAAGACATGGAAGAACAGAATGGAGGCTGCACTCCTTGTGGCGGCTGCACTCCTCGTGGCCGCCTCACCATGAGGGCCACGCGTGCACAGCACACTCACACGATCACACGTATCAACGTGCGAACGCCACACTCTCCCCCACACTTCCTTGCCCTGTCATGCAGCAGGCCCTTCCCACTGCCCCCCACACTCGCACGTGCCTGCGAATGCCCTCTCATGGGCCTCTCTACTCCAGCAACCCATCCGTGGCACCTGTATGACCCCCCCCTCTCCGCCTGGCCATGACTGTTCACCTGTAGTCGAAGTAACGGTGCAGGGAGGCGAGGGAGGAGGAGAGATGGCGCGAGGAGAGAGACTCGTGGTGCTGCCACAGATGCACCTGATGCCATGCACCCACGCCATGCACCCATGTGATGCCATGCACCCATGTGATGCCATGCACCCATGTGATGCCATACACCCATGTGCCATGCGCCCATGCCATGCCATGCAGCCATGTGATTCCATGCAGCCATGTGAAAGAAAGAGGTGAGTAAAGGCAAGGAGAGTGGTAGGTCGCATGGAGAGGCGTGGCGTGCAAGAGCCATGGCATGGGCACGCAACAGGCAGAACAGAGGGCACACGGATGGGCTGCCAGGGATGGCTTCACACCGCCATGCATATAGCAAGGCACATATATGCACCTTGGGTGGCAGGTCGTGCGCATACGCCATGGCGCTCACGTCGTCTGGCAGCGCACCACCCATGGCGCCAGCATGCCCCCCTTCACTGCTCCTCGGGCCTGCTGCTGCTGCGCCCAACCTGCAGCGCACACACGATGGACGGATGGATGGGGCATGCGCGTGAGAAGGGGAGTGCACGAGAGCGGATGCTCTCCATTCCGCTCTGCCCCCTCCACCTTCCCACACACACTACTAGCCATGCCTCTCTGCACGAGTCGCGCCGCACCACTGCTGTGCCAAGCACACACGTGGCAAGCACACACATGGCAAGCACAGCTCCAGGGGCGAGGGGGAGAAAGAGCAGCTGGGACGAGCGAAAAGGGAGAGAGGGCACGAAAGGGGGATCGAGACGGGCATAGACGGAACGAGTACAGGAGAGAGGAAAAGGACAGTGGCGAGAAGCGAAACAAGGGAAGAGATGTTTCACCACCGTGCTCGCATCTGCTGGCGTCCGCGCACGTGGTGGCCGCCTCCATGCGCGCATCTAGGTACTCCGCCAGGCGCCCCGCCTCCCGAAGATACCGCTTCTGCGTGCCGCCTCCTCCCCCTCGCCCCTCCTTACTCTCCCGCCCCCCCAATGGCGCATTAGCTCATGAACATGCAGATAAGAATGACATGGGTGAACAAGACTAGTCACCTACGAGCTGCTTGAAACGATAGACCATCGTGAAACGAGATCCTCAGCATAGGGCACACTAAGAACGACCATGGTAATCGAAGCCTGTGGGAGAGGAAGGAGCTGCTCACTAGGGGGCGCGAAGGCGAGAATGGGAGCTGAAACTGATGCAGATAGAACTGCCGAGGGCTATTATTGTAAGTAACGTCTAGCTGGAAGGCATGAGAGGGCGCAAGGGGGCAAGTAAGGAAGGGATCAGAAGTGTGTGGTGGGATGGAGTGCTGGCATGTGGGGTGCAGCGTGGTGGGCTGGGTGGTTGGGGCGAGCAGGTGGTTGAGCTGGATTAGCCGCTCTGGAACCACTTGGCAGATTTTGATTGGTTGGACGAGATGCAGGGGCTGAGTTGGATAAATAAATTTTGTTGGGTTCGGTTGCAGGTGAAGGGTGGGGGCAAAGGGTGTGTGATTGGTCAGCACGTCATTTTGTGAATAGGGGCGTGTTTCTACAGACCCGAATATCAAGCAAATAGGACCTGAAATTTTGGATCCCAGAATCCGCGCGCTCTATAGCACGCTGTAATTTGCGATTCAATTCGGTTCAGTTTGGTATTCACAAATTTCATAAAGCCGTGTTTTGCACCGATTCCGTTGGACTACGCCCTTCTTGGTGGTTGGATGGAGGTGTTGTAGCCAACACTTGTTACTATATATGCTAAGACGTTTTCGATATATCTCAGTGTGTGTCTTGGATTTGTTTAGTAGATTAAATCGCTTTCCATGGGAACTTGACTTTCTGAATGTATCTAGACTAATATGACTTTATGCTAAAGATAAAAAGCTACTCTTGTTGCCAAAATTGGTGCCAAGTTCATGTACTCTTACAGAACGACCGACAAGCCATTCATAACCTGAAAAGGTCACATATATATGTGGCAGGAAGAATGTAACAAACTTGAGGGAGAGAAATTGCGACCTCAAAATTCAAGTTGGCTTTACAACCCTGGACCAACTCAGTTACGAGGTGTCGTTCACATATGTAGGGTTACATAATTTCCATTTTCTGCAGCCGTCGTAGATGATGCTAGAGAAGAGACATGGTTAGCATTTGCCAATAACGGCTGAATGTCTGAATGCGTGGCCGCACGGAGATCACCCACAGAATGTGGTTTGTTGAGAGATGCACAGGGGAGTGAGTGGATAGGTTTGGGGTGAAGTCTGGCTTTTAACGGAGAGGTTGTCCAAGGTGAGCTTGACTGGCAATCATGTGCCACCCGGTAGGCTGCGAGAGAGCGGGGAGGAGGGGAGGGGGGGGAGGGGAAGAAAGAGATGGGGGCATACGTTAGTGGGGGGGCGGGGGGTTGAGAGGGGTTAGTTATAGAGTGTTTACTGCCTGTCCTGCCGGGATCCCGCTCACACTTACTGCCCTCTCCCCCTCCCCTGCTTCATGCCACTCCCCCTCCTCTGTCCTCATGCCTCTCCCCCTCCCCTGCCCTCATGCATCTCCCTCTCCCCTGCCCTCATGCGTATCTGCCTCCCCTCTCCTCATGCCTCTTTCCCTCCCCATCTCCTCCAGCTGTCCCTGCCTCTCACGCCCTCACGCCTCTCCCACTCCTCTGCTCTCACTCCTACCCCCCTACCCTCACTGCAATCCATCTTTCCCCACTCTCCTGCACTCACGCCACTCCCCCTCCCCTACCCTAACACCCTCTCCCCCTCCCATGCCCCTCACGCCTCTTCCTCCCCCGCCCTCACGCCTCTTCCCCTCCCCATCTCCTCCGGGCTGCACTCTCCCTTTCCCCACTCCCCTACTCGTACCCCTCTTTCCCTTCCCTTCTCTCACCTCTCGCTCCCTCCATGGCTCTTGCGCCTTCCCACATCCCCCCCTATCACGCACCTCATACCTCCATGCTCTCCCATCTCTCCCCCTCCCCTACTCTTACGCCTCTCTCCCTCCCCTGCACTCACGCCTGCTCTCATGCCTCACTCTCTCCCTACTCTCATGCCTCACTCCCTCCCTGCTCTCGTGCCTCACTCCCTCCTTGCTCTCATGCCTCACTCCCTCCCTGCTCTCACGCCTTCCCCCCTCCACTGCTCTCGTGCCCCTCTCCCTCCCCTCTCGCCTCTCCCGCTCGCTACTATCTGTTGTCTTCCCCATCCCTGCGGCCTCGCTTTCTTCCCTGCTGCTGCGCCTTGAACCTTTATCTGTTTTCATTCAATGAGAAGGCAGGGGATTGCGGCGCGCGAAAAAGCGGGTAACACGTTACAACGTGGGAAAGTGGGAAGCGACCCGCAAGGGAAAGCGGGAAGCGGTCCGCGAGGTGAAGCGGGAAGCGCTAGTCGCTACCGGGGGAAAGCGGGATGTGAAAAGGGGGGAATGGCAGAAACAGGAAGCGGGGGAAAGCGGCATGCCGGAAGCTAGGGGAAGCGGGTGGCGGGAAACAGGGGAGAGAGGCAGCAGCGGATTAGCGAGGGCAAGCGGGGTGCGGGTCGCAAGGGAATGTGGGAAGCATGGGAATGCGCGAAGCATGTGAATGCGGGGAGCACGGGGAGCATGGGAATGCGGGGAGCATGGAATGAGGGGAGCATGGGAAAGCGGGGGCATGGGACAGCGGTGAGCATGGGAATGCGGGGAACAAGGGAAAGCGGGATGCGGGGAGCAAGGAATGCGGGGAGCATGAGAATGCGGGGAGCATGGGAATGCGGGGAGCATGAGAATGCGGGGAGCATGGGAATGCGGGGAGCATGGGCAAGCGGGGTGCAGGGAGCAAGGGAATGCGGGGAGGATGGGAAAGCGTGGTGCGGGGAGCAAGGGAATGCGGGGAACATGGGAATGGGGGATGTGGGGAGCAAAGAAATGCGGGGAGCAAGGGGATGCGGAGAGCAAGGGGATGCGGAGAGCATGGGAAAGCGGGGAGCAAGGGAATGCGGAGAGCATGGGAAAGCGGGATGCGGGGAGCAAGGGAATGCGGGGAACACGGGAATGCGGGGAGCATGGGAATGCGGGATGCGAGGAGCAAGGAAATGCGGGGAGCATGGGAATGCGGGATGTGGGGAGCAAGGAAATGCGGGGAGCAAGGGAATGCAGAGAGCATGGGAAAGCGGGATGCGGGGAGCAAGCAAGGGAATGCGGGGAACACGGGAATGCGGGGAGGATGGGAAAGCGGGGTGCGGGGAGCAAGGGAATGCGGGGAACACGGGAATGCGGGGAGCATGGGAATGCGGAGAGCATGAGAAAGCGGGATGCGGGGAGCAAGGGAATGCGGGGAACATGGGAATTCGGGGAGGATGGGAAAGCGGGGTGCGGGGAGCAAGGGAATGCGGGGAACACGGGAATGCGGGGAGCATGGGAATGCGGGATGCGGGGAGCAAGGAAATGAGGGAAGCATGGGAATGCGGGATGTGGGGAGCAAGGAAATGCAGGGAGCAAGGGAATGCAGAGAGCATGGGAAAGCGGGATGCGGGGAGCAAGGGAATGCGGGGAACATGGGAATGCGGGGAGGATGGGAAAGCGGGGTGCGGGGAGCAAGGAATGCGGGGAACATGGGAATGCGGGGAGCATGGGAAAGCGGGGTGCGGGGAGCAAGGGAATGCGGGGAACATGGGAATGCGGGATGCGAGGAGCAAGGAAATGCGGGGAGCAAGGGAATGCGGGATGTGGGGAGCAAGGAAATGCGGGGAGCAAGGGAATGCAGCGAGCATGGGAAAGCGGGATGCGGGGAGCAAGCAAGGGAATGCGGGGAACATGGGAATGCGGGGAGGATGGGAAAGCAGGATGCGGGGAGCAAGGGAATGCAGGGAACATGGGAATGCGGGGAGCATGGGAAAGCGGGATGCGGGGAGCAAGGGAATGCGGGGAGCATGGGAAAGCGAGATGCGGGGAGCAAGGGAATGCGGGGAACATGGGAATGCGGGGAACATGGGAATGCGGGGAACATGGGAATGCCGGGAAAATGGGAATGAGGGAAGCATGGGAATGCGAGGAGCATTGGAATGCGGGGAGCAAGGTAATGCGAGGAGCATGGGAAAGCGGGATTCGGGGAGCAAGCGATAGCGGGACGCGGGTGAAAGCGGGTGGAAGGAAGCGAGGGACAGCGAGATGCTGCAGCACGTGAAGGTGAGATGCGGACGTGCTTTCGAAAGCGGGAAGCGGGGATTTGGGAAGCAAGGAAGCGCGAGGACAGGGGTAGCACGATGTGGGAAGCCGCGGGTGGCATTTTCGTACGAGGAGATCGAAGGCGGCGGGAAGCTATAGCGGCCAGCAACGGTGGGCCGTTAGCAGCGGGGGATTCGTCATTTGTTTCCTGCCCTTGTTTTCAGGCGCTGGTGATTTCGTCCAGGCTAGGCTACGCGCGCCAAGAACCTCAATTGATATCCGCGTTCACTAGCCTGACGTCGGTGTCGCCTCGATCCCATCTTATAAGTCGCTACCAACTCTCTAGCATGGCTACGCATGAGCATGGATCTAGGAGGAAACGAGGGCAAGTCGAGAAAATTACAGATCCCGAATTCGAGATCTGCTACCATCTTTCCCTTAGTCGTTTTTGCTGTCGAGGGAGCAGGCTGTGGGTTGGGTTTGCGATTGTTGTTGTTTGGCTTCGACCAATCGCATGGCCCCTTTTGATGCCCGAGGGGGTTGTTCAATTTCCTCACGGTGCATAGGGTTAGGACGTGGTATCTGGGTTTCGCAACCCATTGGAGCTGCGTAACCCAGCCTGGTTACAGGTCTCGCCGAACCTCGAATAGCGTGTGAGATATGGGTTGAGTTGGTTGGGGTTGGATTCAGTTAGTTTTTTTGGCAAATTGCACATATTTTATATATTATTATATTTCAGTTACTTATGCACAATTTTAAATCTTTGTAGAAGTTTAAGTGTACAAAAACCATTCATTTATGCAAATATAAGCCATGGGAACATGTTTATTATTCAGGTGTAACATTCACAAAACAACTCATTCGCATAACATCCCATCCGCAGAAGACTCGCGAATCATTTACGTGCAAAGAAACGAGAAAAAAACATTTGGCGAACACTTGGCGGACGATTTCCGACTTTATGCCCGAGCTCGAATGGTGAAAACGATCTGTGAACGTTGCACTTTTTGCGATGAACCCAGTGAGGAGGCAGGTTTGAGTGAGGAGGCAGGAGTGAGTGAGGAGTCAGGAGTGGTATTGACAGATTGGGAGGTTGAGGAAATGGAGAAAGAGGATGGAAGAGTGGAGGAGGAGGAGGGGGCAGAGAGGGAGTGGGAGGTGAGCTTGCAGGTTCTGGAGGGCATGAGGCTCCGCTGCTGCTGCTGTGCGTGCAGGCTGGCCAATGCCCTCATTGCTGCTACCAGTACGGGGGAAGGAGACCGGCCACACACAGCATGTGCAGGCATGGGACAGCAGGAGCTGATATCTGGAGATGCACCTGCCCATGCTCCACGGGCGGGAGAAGATGGACGATCATGCACCGCAGTGACAGCAGCAGCAGCAGCAGCAGCATGCGCCCCTGCCTTCTCTCTGCACCTCTCAATCGCCCCCATCAAGGATCTGCTGCTCGCACTCCTCGACCCCACCGTCATGCTGCCTCCACTTCCCATGCGATTTCTCTCACTGTCTCTGCCCCTCCGTCCATGCCTCATGTCACCCGCCTCCGCGCCTCGCTCTGCCCGCCTTGAGCGCTCACTAGATGAGACCGGCGGCCCGGTAACGCGCCCAGCGTCAGGCTGCTGGGCTTCTGGGAATCCTCCTTTTGGGGACGCGGGCCGCGAGTGCCGTTCCTGCGCAGGTGCCTTGCAGCCAGGTGAGCGCCCACTGGCACGGAGGGTGAGGTCGGGGGAGGCATGGGGGGGTGCGCGGGTGAAGTAGGGGTTGCGGGCGGAGGCGGAGAGGGGAGGAGGGGAGGACGTGGAGGGAAATGCCGGGGAGGAGGTGGAGGAACAGGTGAAAGAGGGGAGGGTTGCAGCAGTGACGTTAGCGTCATGATTAGGAACGTCATTGTTGAGGGTGTTAGCGACAGCATTAGTGCCAAGTTAATGGCGATTGAGCCAAGGGCACGTTTAGAAAAGCGTGTTTTTGGCTTTCTCTCCTGTCCGTGCCGTCCTTGGCTGGAGCCCACTCTCCAGAGCTGCTTTGGGAGAACTCTTTTATAATTCCTTGATCCGCACGCTGAGCTGCCCGCCGGGCAGGCTGAAGATCTTCCTGTGCCTGATGGCGTGTGTGCTGTGCAACCTCCTCTACACCCGCCGTCCTTACCCACTCACTGCTTCTGGACCTGCCTTAATCCCCCACAGGCGCCCCTCTCATCCCCGGGCTGTCCCCACCCACCCCTCCCTCGCGCTCCATCAGCCCCCCCCCGCTATGGCTTCTCCTCACCCACTGCCCTCCCCTCCATGTGACAGCATCCATGCTTCCCCGCCGTTTGCCATCGTCAATTGTCCCGCCTCCACAGCTGCCTCCACAGCTGCCTCCACAGCTGCCTCAGCTGCCGCGTGGCTGCTCGGCCCTTTCACTCGCCCCCCCTTGGCCCTTGTCCTCCTCGCGAAGGGGCACCTCGAATTCAGCATAGTCTGCCCAGCCCTGCCATTCCCCCTCCTCGCCCTCCTCCTCCTCCCCCTCGTGCTCTCCCTCTAGCCCACCCCCGCTGTGAAGTGTTTCAAAGCACGGCGCGCTTGAACCAACCAGGCCTGCTCTCGTGTGGCGCGCCCTGTTGGTTCCTCCAGCAGCAGCATCGTCATGGTGGTAACCAGCTGCTGCACTGAAGTCAGTGACACGTGTATGGTTATCACCTGCAGCAGTAAGGTGCAGAGGCGGGAGAGGGGGAAGAGGGAGCGGGCGGGGGAGAAGAAGCGGCGATGGGAGGATGGGTCGGGGGAGCAGCTGCGATGGTGGCAGAGGCTGGGCGTTGCCCTGGCAGCCCGCTGCTGCTCTGAGCAAGCTCTCTTGCTCACCTCAACTGCTGCTTCTCCGGCGTGCTGCTGTGCCCGCTCGCCTGCTGGAGGAGAGAGGCTAAAGAAAGGGTCAGGAGTAAGGGACATCGGCGAAGAGGTGAGGATCCTAGGAAGAATGGACGCTGAGATCAAGGAATGGACACTGAGATCAAGGAATGAACGCTGAGATCAAGGAATGGACACTGAGATCAAGGAATGGACACTGAGATCAAGGAATGGACGCTGAGATCAAGGAATGGACCCTGAGATCAAGGAATGGACGCTGAGATCAAGGAATGGACACTGAGATCAAGGAATGGACGCTGAGATCAAGGAATGGACCCTGAGATCAAGGAATGGACGCTGAGATCAAGGAATGGACGCTGAGATCAAGGAATGGACGCTGAGATCAAGGAATGGACGCTGAGATCAAGGAATGGACGCTGAGATCAAGGAATGGACACTGAGATCAAGGAATGGACACTGAGATCAAGGAATGGATGCTGAGATCAAGGAATGGACACTGAGATCAAGGAAGGGATGGCGCCTGCAGCAGCAGCAGAAGTGGCAGCAGCAGCAGTAGTGGCAGCAGCAGCAGAAGTGGCAGCAGCAGCAGTAGTGGCAGCAGCAGCAGTACTGGCAGCAGCAGCAGTACTGGCAGCAGCAGCAGTACTGGCAGTGCCACCACCACCAGTGCCTGAAGGCCCATGCCATCCAGCTTCTCCCACCTTCTCTGCCCTGGTGGCAGCCGTGCTGGGGCCCCGCCATGCTGGCGAGTCGGACATGGACCGACTCAACCACTGCTGCACCCTGCGCCCTCTTGGCCCTCCGCTGCTGCTGCCACCACTGCCAGCACGCCTGCTGTCCCGGCCTGGAACACTGCTAATGGCGATGCCATCACCATTTTCACGCAGCTGGTCACCACGCAGGCTACTCGCACCCCCGCCACCGTGATCCATCCCCCCCATCTCTGCCCCTACCGTTGCTGCCCTTTGCAGGTACCTGCTCCTGCCGGCTTCCATCTCTTTCGACCCCTTATCCACTTTAAAATCCCCTTCGTCCTGCCGCTTTTCTCCCTTGCTTGCTGCCTCTGCACCTCCAGATAGGCTCGGGGTCTGGCTCTCCCCCTCTGCCGGCCCTAGCTTTTCCGAGCCTGGCTTCTTCGAGCCTGCAGGTTTGGCATCCGCGTCCTTGGTCTCCTGCTGCCACCTGTGGGACAGAGCAGAGCAGCGGCAGATGCGGTGAGTGGCATAGTACAGCAGTTGCCACGCGCGGTGCGCATCCGATAGTACTCCAACCATCAAGTCGTCAGCGGAGGTGCAGAGGCAGGATCCATCAAGCCATCAAGTCGGGTTCTGGGCTTCCTCCCTCTCCTATAACCATTCCGTCTAGCTTCAATCGGTTACCGGGGTGGGCTGTAAGGGGGACAGGGAAGGGAAGGGGGCAGGGACAACCACAAGAGAGAGGTGGTGTCAGGGGTGCAAAGGAGCCATTTTCACCCGTTTCTCCCGTTAACTACGCCTCCCTGCCTTGGGACATGAGTGATCGTACGCATCTTACAAGGATGGGGCACTGCGAAGTTAAGCCAGAGCAGGGTAAGTCAATTCGACACACACCTTTCGAGCACCTCTAGCGGCGCGCTGCTCACCACGCGCATGTCCAGCTCGTCGCTGCGGCTGCTCCCGCCTAGAACCGCCATTTGCGGCACCAACCTGCGCGCTGGGCAGCCCGCTGGCAGCTCGTCAGTCAGAGCCTAAAGCGCCGGTTCCGCCGCCACGAGGTGCTGAACGTGCACGCGGCGATCTCACTCCGCCACGAAGTCGCCGGCGGAAATAATCATGGCGGATGCTGCGGCGGTCTGCACGCCGGTCACCAAATGCACGGAGGGTGGTAGGGGACGGCAGCGGCGGTGCAGACGAAGCGGCAGCGGGCGTCCCGAAGAGCGGAGCACATAGCGCAGGGACGGAGGGGAGGGTGGTGCCACGGGTGGGTCATGGCGACGGGGCAGTCGCACATCGGACAGGTCATACCCGCCAGTCGAGCTGCGTGGACCCGATGCTTGGGGTCCATCTGCGGAATGCACGTCCCCAGGGCGGTGAAGTCCAGGGCAGTGAAGTCCAGGGCGGTGAAGTCCAGGGCGGTGAAGTCCATGGCGGTGAAGTCAATGGCGACGACGACTTGCCGCGCGCCGCTAACAGCTCATCCTTTTCTCAAGCCGTGCGCTCGAGCTGTGACTCTTGCACTGGGAAGTGTCACAACGATGGCAGCACCCAACTCGAACCCACGAGCATGCGACAGTATCTCTGCCCAATGCACATTGCACGAACACGACTTGGTAACTAGCGACGTAAAAGCCGCACGGCCTAAGTGGGTCGACGCGGCCATCATCTCATCGTCTTCTCAAGCCATACAACCGGCTCATGAACTAAAGCGGCACCTAACCGTTTTTCAACGTGCGCACACAAGCAGCTGAAGGCTGCATAGTCTGGGGAGAAAACAATAGATAATGCCTCTCGCTCGCGAGGGAGTCGGCCACCATCCTTCTGAGCCAGAAACGAAATGAGCAGCAGTCAGTTCGGCCCCGAGACAGGTCGTTGACTCATCGATGCCATCACTGCCTCCCACCCCGCCACTCTCGGCCGCTGCCAGTGCCTCGCTTCGCCATCGACTCTCATCATCTCGCGTCGCGAGTCGTGACGCTGGTCCGATGGATGGTAGGGAACTGTACAAACGTTGACATTCCAATTTCCCTCCATGAACGCAAAACTACTAGGCCCGGTTCGCTAGCCCTGACCGTCCCACAGAACAAAGGGCGGACATACAATGCAAACGGAGTCACTGTAGCTAACGGAGAACGAACCTCGGGCTATTCACGACAAACTAACCACGAATATTCTTGAATCCATGGAGATCTCTAGGCCGCCATGGATTCTACTGGTCTCTCCTAACAGCCGAATGTACACCTTATCTTTACCAGATCGCGATAATTTTGGTGGCTCTGGCTTCTACATGTTGATATCTATAGGACTAGCTTTATTAAATGTTCATTCCTTGAACATCACGCGGTCCGTTTTTAGTTGAGATTCCCAGGGTTCCTCATCTTCATCGTCAGGTGTCGCCATGTCAGTTGCGGATCTAGGCTATAATCTGTCACCTGCAATTACAAAGGTCCACAAATCTTGACAGGGATTGTTATCCAGGGCTCCTATCCACTTCCCCGCTAGCATGGAGGGGGTGGAAGTATCGTCAAAGACTGTTTCAGCTGGGGGAGTCTGTGCTCAGATATCCCAAGGTTTCTGTCATTCAACAACAGCTTCAAAGTTATCATCATTGCATGATGTCGAAGCCGAAAGCTCAGGCTACTGCTTTCATCACGACTTGGGCCAGCCATCGGCGTTCTTAGATGAATGATGCCGAGGATACGGTTCCTCATCCGTTAGAGACGCCGCTGCCTCATGACTCTGCTGAAGGGTTCGCTCCCCTGACGTCCCAGACTGAGCTGCCGTCGGTGCCTCCTCCAGCTTTGGTTCAGATGTCAAACATGTTTATTGATCATGTTTGTATAGACTGTATAGGGTAACCTCCTAGAGGGTACAACATTTAGGTATATGTGCATGTACTCTCTAACTCTATTATTATTCAATTCTAGTTTCGAGATGGTATCACGCGTAGGTTTCGACCCTCCCCCCTCCCCCCCACCTACCGCTTCCGCTCCTCCCGTCGCGTCTCCTAGCCTAGCCTCGCTCCTCCTGAGCCCAGTCGCGACTCCCCCCCCCTAGCCCCGTTGTGCTCCTCTCAGGCCTCGTCGCGCCCCTTCCAGGTCGTCGTAGCGCCCCTCCAGGCCCCGTCGCGCCCCCTTCCAGGGCTTCGTAGCGCCCCTCCAGGCCCCCGTCGCGCCCCTCCTGGGCTCTGTAGCGCCCCTCCAGGGCCCCGTCGCGCCCCTCCTGGGCCCCTTAGCGCCCCTCCTGGGCCCTGTCGTGCTCCTCTCAGGCCCCGTCGCGCTCCTCCCAGGCCCCGTCGCGCTCCTTCCAGGCCCCGTCGCGCTCCTCCCAGGCCCCGTCGCGCTCCTTCCAGGCCCCGTCGCGCTCCTCCCAGGCCCCGTCGCGCCTCTTCCAGGGCTTCGTAGCGCCCCTCCAGGCCCCGTCGCGCCCCTTCCAGGGCTTCGTAGCGCCCCTTCTGGGCTTTGTCGCGCCCCTCCTGGGCTTGGTCGCGCCCCTCCCAGGCCCCCGTCGCGCCCCTCCCTGGGCCCCCGTCGCGCCCCTCCCTGGGCCCCCCCGTCGCGCCCCTCCTGGGCCCCCCCCCCTTAGCGCTCCTCCCTGGGCCCCGTCGCGCCCCTCCAGGGCCCTGTAGTGCCCCTCCTGGGCCCCGTCGAGCCCCTCCTGGGCCCCGTCACACCTGCTCGGCCCCGTCGCCCCAGCTCGGCCCCGTCGCAGCCGCTCGGCCCCGTGGCGCCCGCCCGGCCCCTGTCGCAGCCTCCCGGCCCCTGTCGCACCCGCCCGGCCCCGTCACGCCCGCCCGGCCCCGTCGCAGCCGCCCGGCCTCGTCGCTGCCGCCCGGCCCCGTCGCAGCCGCCCGGCCCCGTCGCAGCCGCCCGGCCCCGTCGCAGCCGCCCGGCCCCGTCGCGTCTGCCTGGCCCCTCGTCGCGCCTGCCCGGCCCCGTCGCGCCTGTCCGGCCCCGACGCGCCTGCCCCGGCCCTACATACTTCCTGGTACTGTCCCCCGTTCCCCGCACCGCTTTGCACCCTCCTGCACTTCCCTGCCCCGCCTTGCACCGCATTGCACCTCACTGGACCGCACTGCACCGCACTGCACCGCACTGGACCGCACTGCACCGCACTGCATCGCACTGCACCGCACAGGACCGCACTGCACCGCACTGCACCGCACTGGACCGCACTGCACCGCACTGCATCGCACTGCACCGCACTGCACCGCCCTGCACCGCCCTGCACAGCACTACAGCGCACTCCACCGTCCTACACTGCCCCTGATGGCTGCTGAGCTTCGTTTTGATGCTGAGGGTCAGCCCCTGGAGTTCGAGGCGTGGTTGGCTGACCTTCTCCGCCACCTCACTGGTCAGCGGCAGGACGGCCACCCGCTTTCTGACCACCTAGACGGTATGCTCCCCTGCCCTGACCCCCCTGCTGTGCTGCCTGCTGATCCCACGCCCGCTGAGCGCGAGTCCACTGCCGCCGCTGCCCTTGCCCGCTCTGTCTGGCTTTCCCGCGATGCCCTTGCTCAGCTCGCCATTAGCAATGCCCTCCCCCCCCCTGAGCGCCCTTGCTTTAGAACCATTACTACCGCCAAGGCCTACCTCGATGCTGTCATCAAGCGCTATTCTACCCCTCCTGCTGCCTCAGTGGGTCGCCTGATCCTCCCCCTGCTCTTTCCTGACCTTGCGTCTTTCCCCACTGTCTCTGACCTCGCTGCCCACCTGCGCTCGATAGATGAGACCTGGCGCGCTGCCTGCACTGATGCACAGCTTAGAGTCCACCAGCCTCCCATGACCTCTACCCTCTACCTCCTTGCCACCCGCCTCCCTGACCGCCTTGCCGCCGCCCGCGACCAGTTCCTTAGCATCCACCCCGCTGCTCTCACCCTCACCGACTTTGTTGACACCCTGACTGTTATAGAGACTCGTCACCGCTCCATCGCCCAGGCGAGCGGTACAGTACTGGTCCCTATCTTTCAGGGTTGTGCCCCCGCTCAGTGTACCTTCTCCGACGGCTCTGTCGCTGTGGCTGAGACTGCTGCTGCAGTGCAGTCCCGCTCGGGGAAGGGCCGCCGCCCCAAGGTTGGGAGCGGCGGAGGCGGCGGGGGTGCGGGTGGGGGTGGTGGTGGAGTCGGGACGTCCGGTGCCGGTGCGGACGTGGGGACCCTGCCCAGTCCAGCTGCCCCGCTGCCTCCACAGTCGCATCAGCAGCAGCAGCAGCAGTCGCCGCAGCCGCAGCCTCTGCAGAAGCCGCAGCAGCCGCCGCAGACGAGGCAGGCGAGTGCTCTCCCGCCTGGGTGGCCTGGAGCTGGTGGTGGTCGTGCGCGTGGTGGTGCGCCGGGTGGTGGTTCTGGAGGCGGGCGCTGTCAGTACCAGATCCAGACCGGTCCTCGCCGCGGTTTCGTTTGCGGTAAGATCGGTCATTCCACTCCTCGCTGTTTTCGTTGTCTGGACGACCTGTTCCGTCAGCGCTTTGGCCCGGCGCCCGACCTCCCGGACTGGCACAGCTTGCTTAGGCGTAGCATTCAGATTTTTGACTTGGACATGGATGCCATTGTAGCAGCCTTGCATGTGATGTATGCTGATGACTCTAGTGTGCTTCCTTCTTATTACCCTGTGTTGCCTAGTGTAGATGTGCCTAGCGTAGACTCCCCTGCTGCGTCAGGCGTAGGATCTCCTGCTTTGCTTAGCCTCGGTGCTTCCACCGCTTCACTGCCGCCTCCCGCGACTGCTGCGCTTTCCTTCACCTTGGACTCTGGCGCCTCCCGGTGTTTCTTCCGCGACTCCACGACGCTGACGCCGCTGCCTGTTCCCGCTGCAGTTACTCTTGCTGACCCCTCCGGTGGTCCCGTCGTTGCCCGCAGTTCCACCTCCCTTCCCTGTCCGGCGGTTCCTTCAGGTTCGCTCACAGGTCTGCATATCCCCTCGTTCTCCAGGAACCTAGTTGGTGTCGGCTGCCTCCAGGACCTTGGCGTCACCACTACGTTCCCTGGTCACGAGCGGTATGCTGTCTGTACCGAGGCCGCCACTGGTGCCCCCCTTACCACTTTCCCCCGGGACCCGGTGTCCGGCCTGTTCACACTTGACACCGCGACTTCCCCGGCTGGGTCTTCCCCCCAGGTCGCTGCTTCCATCCAGGTTGCTGCTGCGTGCTCCTGACGGTCCCTCACTCACCCGACTCTCCTTTGGCACCACCGCCTTGGTCACCCTGCACTCCCGCGTCTGCGTCACATGTCCCAGCACGGTCTCGTCCTTGGTCTCCCCAGTTCGTTCCCCGAGTTTCCCTCCTCCCCCGCCCCCCCGTGCACGCCTTGTGTCGAGGGCCGGCTCCGCCGTGCCCCTCACTCCTCCTCGTTTCCCCCTACCACCACACCACTGCAGACTCTGCACATGGACGTCTGGGGCCCAGCCCCGGTCCATGGGCCGCGTCGCGAGCGCTTCTTCCTAGTGCTTGTCGACGACTTCACGCGCTACACCACCGTCTTTCCCCTGGAGCGGAAGGCCGACGTGCCTGACGTTCTCATCCCCTGGCTTGTCTCTGCTCGTGTCCACCGCGGTCTCCCTGCCTTGCGCCTCCACTCCGACCGGGGTGGCGAGTTTGCCTCAGGTGTCCTTGGTCGCTTCTGTCGTGCGGAGGGCATCACCCAGACGTTTACCCTGCCGGACTCCCCGCAGCAGAATGGGGTCGCTGAGCGACGCATCGGTTTGGTCATGGAGGTGGCTCGCACCTCCATGATCCACGCCGGTGCACCCCATTTTCTGTGGCCGTTCGCCGTGCGCTACGCCGCTCACCAGCTTAACCTGTGGCCGCACCCCCAGCGGCCGCCGGTTTCGCCGACCCTTCTGTGGACCGGGTCCCCTGGTGACGCGTCTGCGTTCCACGTCTGGGGCTGCCTTGCTCACGTTCGTGCCTCTGGCACGGACAAGCTCACTGCCCGCACCCTCCCCTGCGTCTTCCTCGGTTTCCCCCTTGACGCGTCCGACTGGCACTTCTACCACCCGCCGTCTCACCGCTTCTTTCACTCTCGCGACGTCACCTTTGACGAGTCCGTCTCCTTCTACCGCCGCTTCCCCCACTGTGGTCCCCCGGTTACTCCCCCCCTGTTCCTGGTCCCTCCTTCCCCGGTGGTCCCTGCCCCCCCCCCCCCCCCCGCCCCCCCGTCCGGCCCCCTCTGGTGTGTCTCACGTCACCCCCCTCCCGTCGGTCGTCCCGGTCGACGAGTCTTCTGACTCTGGTAGTCCTCCGCCGCAGTCCTCGCCGTCTGTCCCTCCCCCGGTGTCTCCTCCTCCACCGCCTCCGCAGCCGCCGTCGCCGCAGCTGCTGCAGCCGTCGTCTCCCCCGCCGCCGCTGTTGCAGCCGTCGTCTCCGCCGCCACCGCCGTCGCGGCCGTCGCTGCAGCCGCCGCCGCCGCAGTCGTCGCTGCCGCTGTTTGTGGACTCTGGGGGTGCTGGCGTTGAGGTGGGTCCTAGTCCCGGGGCTACTGTCGTGGCTTGTCCCGGCGGGCCTGGGGGTGGTACCGGTGCTGGCGGGGTTTCGTGCTCTGGGGGTGTCCCTTCTGGGGGTGCCGGTGTGGAGGGTTCGGGAGGTAGTAGTCGCGCAGCTTGTGGCCCTGGCGTTGGTGTTGTGTCGCCGCAGCAGCAGTCCCCGCCGGTGTCCGCCCTCCGTCTGCTCGGCCTTCCGTCCCCTGACCCTGCGCCTGTTCCTCACCTGCCGTCTCCTCCTCTTCCCGTCTACGGCCCCGTGTTCCCTCCGCCGGACTCGTCCCCGGCTCGTTTTCCCCCTCGTTCCCCACCAGTGTCCCCTCCTCTGTCTCCTGACCCGACGCCTCCCTCTCACGTCTGGTCTCGCCGCCCCTCCCGTGC